TGGGGAGATGCACTGCCTCCCGACAGGGCCCTGCACCGCCAACTCCACATGCACGCGCCTTCTGGAAGGGTCCCAAGGGTTTGGGACGTACACAGACTCCATGAAGACCCAGGACACCGGGTTTGTGTTTATGATGCACCCTCACTAGCATGACCCCAAACATCTATATTTACCAAGCATTATGCTTCCCCAAAGATTATCAGATGGTCTGCCTGTGGCTTCAGAATGCACGGGGGCTGTCCAGGGGCCTGGGCCTGCTGGGGACATGCTCTCCCCTGAGTGCCGGGCTCTCCTCTCCCTGGACACACGAACTCCCTGGTCTTGGTCAAGGTCGCAGGGGCCACCGTGTGGTCCTCATATTCCTGGGGTTCTTGCTGCTCCAGGACACGTGTGCCGGGCTCAGACATGCAGGCTGGACAAGACTGTCCCCTGGAGATAGAGGGGTGGAAGGCCAGGTCACAGGCACGATTCTCACCTGTCGGCCCCAGTGGCACACCACTCGGCCCCAAAGTGGACTCACACACCCCTACTCTAGAGAAATGCACGTAAAAGTGGCAGCCACCCCACCAGCTGACGGAGGAGCTACACTGCCATCCAGGTTCGCCTGCCCCAAGAAGCCTGGTGCTTCTCACAGGACACCTGCTGGAGACTGAGGACATGGTGACAAGGAGAGCTGAGGTGCAGGCTCTATTGTGCCCTTACATTGCTCCACTACCACCATTCTCCATCCAAGGCTTGTCTAAAGGCAGTTTTCTCAGGAAGTGACAAACAAATATACACAGCAGCCACAACCTCATCAGAGTACCCTGTGTCTGCCCGTTACCACTCCCTCAAAGGAATCTCCCCAGCCAGAGCCCACAAAGCTGGGCACCGAGAAACTACAGACAATACAGACGGGGACATCTGCCACAGCCGTGGTCTAACCAGCCAGTAGAGGTGAGCAAGGACAGCTGGGAGCCTGACACTCCCGCCGTTGAACTGCCCCCTAAGCCCAAGGTGGCTGCTGGGATCAGTCAATAATCGTCATCAGACGGAATTTAGTTAATTACCTAATTCTTCGTTGTTCATATCTAATTCCACACAATTGCATCATGAAGGATTAAAACCCAGAAACAGGGGACCCTGGCCACCGGGTTTCCGCAGGACAAAGCTCGAGTCTTTATTTTTTATTATTTTTTTTTTAAAGATTTTATTTATTTTATTTTTCCCCCCAAAGCCCCAGTGGATAGTTGTGTGTCGTAGCTGCACATCCTTCTAGTTGCTGTATGTGGGACTCGGCCTCAGGATGAACGGAGAAGTGGTGCCTCGATGCGCACCCGGGATCCGAACCCGGGCCACCAGCATCGCGAGAAGTGGTGCCTCGATGTGCACCCGGGATCCGAACCCGGGCCACCAGCATCGCAGCGCGCGCACTTAACCACCAAGCCACAGGGCCGGCCCAATAATTTTTTTTTTTTTCCCCCAAAGCCCCAGTAGATAGTTGTACGTCATAGCTGCACATCCTTCTAGTTGCTGTATGTGGGACGCGGCCTCAGCATGGCTGGAGAAGCGGTGCGTCGGTGCGCACCCGGGATCTGAACCCGGGCCGCCAGCAGCTCAGCGCGCGCACTTAACCGCTAAGCCACGGGGCCGGCCCTCAAAGCTCGAGTCTTTAGAAGTGCTGTTCTGAACACTGACTGCCCACACGTCCAAGACAGGCCATTCAGACCTGCACACAAACGCCATCTGAAGGCCTTCACAACTCCACACATCAGGCGGGAACCAACCAGGCACTTCCCTGCCTAACAGCTCTGAACTGGAAGAAAAATACAGGCACCAGTACAAACATTTGGATTCTATAAATAAGAGAAAAGTCACTCAAATGTTCCATTGGATAGATTTCCATTTATTCTGGAGGCCCTGGGCACCACACCCCTATGGTCTCACTGCCCACAATGGGCCCACCCTACAGGAGCCAGCTGGTCTGCAGGCCAGGACTGACCTAGAGAAGCTTCTGCTATGGTTTGTGTCCCCAAAATTCCCACGTTGAAGCCCCAACCCCAGTGGGACGCTACTTGGAGGCGGGGCCTTTGGAAGGTGATTAGGGTTACATGAGGTCGTGAGGGTGGGGCCCATGACAGGATTAGTGCCCTTATGAGAGACTCCAGAGTTCTTTCCCCCTCCACGGTGAGGACACAGAGAGAAGGTGGCTGCCTGCAAACCAGGAAGACAGTCTTCACCAGGAACCAAGCATGCTGACACTCTGATCTTGGACTTCTGGCCTCCAGAACTAAGAAAATAAATTTCTGTTGTTTAAAACGCCTAGTCTGTGGTGTTTGGTTATGGCCGTCTGAGCCAACTGAGACAGCTATGTAACTTAAGACTTAATGGCTGTTTTAAACCATCTTCAGTAAGTATTAATAAACCTAAAATACAAATATGCTATAAGAAAAAATATGGAAATATTTCAACCATACCCATCATTTATCTTCAACAACTCATTTTGCCAATATTGTTTTGTCATTTCTTTTTTTTTTTTTGCTGAGGAAGATTTGCCCTGAGCTAACATCTATTGCCAATCTTCCTCTTTTTTTGCTTGAGGAAGATTAGCCCTGAGCCAATCTTCTTCTATTTGATATGCAGGGTTGGCGCCACAGCATGGCTGATGAGTGGCGTAGGTCCGCGCCCGGGATCCAATCCTGCAAACCTGGGCTGCCAAAGCAGAGCATTCCGAACCCAACCACTAGGCCACTAGGCCAGCCCCAGTCTTTCTTCTTTTTATTAGAATTTTAAAGAAAATCCCACATCATGTCATTTCACCCATGAATACATCAGAATGCACTTTGTTTTTTTCCTGAGGAAGATTCACCCTAACATCTGTGCCAATCTTCCTTTTTGTATGTGGGTTGCCGCCACAGCATGGCCACTGACAAGTGGTGTAGGTCCACACCCGGGAACCAAATGCAGGCTGCTGAAGCAGAGCACACTGAACTTAACCACTAGGCCACAAGGCCAGCCCCAGAATGCACTTTTAATAAGGACTTTTTAAAACAGAACCACCGTGACATTATCACGCAAATTCCTTAGTACTACCTAATATCCAGTCCATGTTCAAATTTCCACAACTGTCTCTAAAATGTCTTCTTACAGCTGGTTTGCTCAAATCAAGATCAGACAGTCCCTCACTGCAGTGCCTCTGGCGCTCTCCTGGTCCGTCGTGGCTCCCTCTTCTCCAGCCTGATTTACTGAGAGAGGTCGCTGCCTGGTAGCATCTCTCTGTCTGATCTGGCTCAGTGCTTTCTCCTGGTGGTTTGAACCTGCCCTTCACCCCCTATTTCCTATAAACTCATTTCTAATTCTATCATTCCCTCCTCACTTGTTAGCTGAAATTCTTATAAAATAAAACAAAATCAAAATCCTTCATCAACTATTTGGATCACCTGAAATGGTGTTCTTACAGGCAAGGGGGCAAGTATCCTATCCCTGACCAAGTCTCTGAGTAAAAGCCACTGCCCTCATGAGCTCCACGTGGCAGATTTTTATTCCCGGGCTGGACAAGCGGAGATGCCTTAAGTTTAGAACAAAGAGGTCACCTCTTCCCCATAAAACTCCCCGTCGTGGTGTTCGCTTCGGCAGCACATATACTAAAATTGGAACGATACAGAGAAGATTAGCATGGCCCCTGCGCAAGGATGACACGCAAATTCGTGAAGCGTTCCATATTTTTGCGTCCCATATAAAGTGGAGGAAGATGGGCACAGATGTTAGCCCAGGGCCGTCTTCCTCAGCAAAAAAAGAGGAGGATTGGCGGATGTTAGCACAGGGCTGATCTCCTCACAAAAAAAAAAAAAAAAAACTCCCCGTCGTGAACACGGCCACCCCTTACTGCTCTAAGACCCGACTTGATTCACCAATTCAAGGTGCAGGACCAGCTCCCAAGGCTCTCCTGACAGGGCTGTGGGAAGAGTTCTGTGGTGGTGGTCACCTTGGTGAGCAGTCGACCACCCCTGACCTGATCAGCTCTGTGGCACCACCCCCAGTGCCATGGCACCTGCAGTTGCCCTGGTAACCATAAAGCCCACAACATGTGGTAGTGGCTGTGGGGGTCTTATTCACTGAAAGAAAGATCTTAAAAGCAGAGGGCTGGGGCTGAGCAGAGCCATCACAGGCTGGGAGTCATCTCGGTGATGCATCCACACGCAGACTTGGGTCTGGTGAGACCCATCCAGGTCTCATGGGCCAAACCGGGCCCTCCTGCCCCCTTCCTCACCACGTGTTCCCACACCCATCACAGGGTCCGACAGATAGTCACTACCGGAGTACCAGAAGCTCCAACTGCTCGACCTCACCGGGTGAACAGACTCAGCTGTGATCTTGGGAGCAAAGGGCTGGGTCTGGAATGAAAGGACTGTGCAGACCCATATGGCGTCTCCGACAGATCCGCAAGCATCTGGTCACATAATACCGGGAGAAAAGCTTTCCTGAATTGCACGTGTTCACAAATATAAACACACACACAAAGCAAGACGCAGTGCTGTTTTACCAAAGACCTAGACCCATGAGTTAACCTAGGTTGGAGAGATGAGCTGGAGTAGCAGTGCTGTCAGGATGGGCTCTAACACACTTGTGAGGACACACGGGCCCAAGCAGGCACCAGATGGATGCCCTGTCCTCACGCAGACCTGCTAACCACAACTCTGGTCCTGAGTTCTGGCCGACCACCAAAGGAGGTCTTTCTATAATCCTCTGACAAGCTCAAGACTTTACAAAGATGCCCCTTTCTAAGTCACACCTGTAGAGGCTGCAGGAAGGGCTGTACTTCTGTGCAAAACCCACAGCTGCCTTTCTTAAGACACGGAAATGGGATGCAAGTTGAAAAAGACCGGACAAGGAAGGTAGCAAGAAAGAGGCAGGAAGGTAAGAAAGTTAAAGTTGCACTGAGCAGCCCTTGAGGCTGGGATGGGGCAGGGGTACGAGCCCGAGATCCACCCAAGCGCCTGCTCCTCCCTGGTGTGCCCCTCAGACCCGCTTCTCCAGGCAGTGTTCCCGGGGAGCTGCTCGGGAGAGCTGGAGCTCTGACTGTGGCTTTCCTGAGAGGCCAGGACCTAGACGGCTTCTTCCCGCCTTGTTAAGTCAGAACTGACAGCCTCCTGCAGGGCCCACAGACGCAGACATGCGCCGTGGGCGCTCCTACACCTCCCCCCTCCCGTGGGTTCTCTGATGCCGTGTGAAGAAGCCCAGGTGGCGGAAGCCTTTCCCGCAGCGCTCGCACTCGTAGGCCCTCCTGGTCAGGTGCAGTCTCTGGTGGATGCTGAAGCCCTTGGGCCACCGGAAGGCCTTGCCGCACTGGGCGCACATGTAGGGCTTCTCCCCGCTGTGGATCCTCTGGTGGTGGGTGAGGTTCTCCTTGGTGCGGAAGGCCTTCCCGCAGTCCGCGCAGCAGAAAGGCCTCTCCCCGCTGTGCACCAGCTGATGCCGGAGAAGGTTCGACTTCTGCTTGAAGGCCTTCCCACAGTCCGCACACGGGTAGGGTTTGTGCTCCGTGTGGACCTTGCGATGCTGGGCGAGGCGGTCCTTCAGGCTGAAGGCCTGTCCGCACACCTCACAGCTGAAGGGCTTCTCGCTGGTGTGGTTTCTCTGGTGTCGCACAAGGTTGGAGACCCACCTGAAGGTCTGGCCGCATTCAAAACACACGAAGGACTTGGTTCCCGTGTGGACGGTCTGGTGAGCAGCGAGCCGGCTGTGACAGCTCAGGACTTTCCCACACGTGTCACAGATAAATGGCTGCTCCTCGGCGGGACGCTCCCGGTGCTCACAGAGGCCTGGCTGCCGCCTGCAGCACAACCCACACGCCCCACACACCCCACGCTGCAGAGCCGCCACACCGGGACACTGTACGTCATCCAAGTTCAGAAGGAAGCTCTTCCTGAAGCCAGCGCCTGCCTTGGCTCTCTCAGGCTCGTGCATTTCCTCGTGAGTTGCCAACGGCTGATTACGGTGTCTCTTCTGATAAAGGGACTTCCTTGCTCCTGTGGAGAAACACAGGGGCTTACACAGGGTGGTGGCCCTGAGAATGGGCCAGCAAAACAGAAGAAAAGCTACAAAGTGTGTCCTACCAGCTCATTTCAATCTAATTAGGGATCCACTCCAAGAAAGTGGCACAGGAGTGACAAGGAAGCACATAGATGAGCTAAAAGTATAAATAGTGGGAAAGTGAAAATGAACTCAAATGCTCACCCAAGAGAGGTCACAGTTAGAAAAACTCCAGTATTATCAACATGATGGAATATTATAATACTATAAGTCGGCTTAAACGGCCCAATAGTACATATACCAATCAGGGTAAAAAGAATGTCCCCTAAACCTGCCTCCGTTCATTCAACAAGGCCCTGGTGCGGGGCGGGGGGTGCCAGAGACAGGCGTGTAGAAGCCTGAGAGCTCTGCGTAGTTATTCTGAACCACTCACCCTCCAGGCCATAAGCTCCCCTCCAGCCAGGTACCCAAGACCCTCTCCATCCTGGGGCTCCACACAACCCAGTGTCTTCCCAGAGTGTCTCATTCTCACACATCTGCTTGATCTCACTTCTGAGAGAATCTGAAATCAACAAGAGAACCTGCCACTGCGCCTACCACCTCACTTACGGAAGGAGGCACTGTTATAGTCTGATTTTACAAAGGAGCAAACAGCACACAAAGCACCTGCCCAGGCCACAGGGGAAGACCCTCAGAGCAGGCGTGTCAGGCTCCTGACCTCTTCCTGTGACCATGTGTGGCTGCCAGGCCTCGAGCACCCACACCCAGGGTCTCCACAGGACGGCGCCTGGCCCTCTCAGGCCCCACCCGAACCGAAGGCTGCACCCGCCTGCCTGTACCACCTCACACATCCCCACGGCACACGCTCAGTGCTCCTCGGAGCAGCGCTCAGCGCAGGAGCGTGGCTGTTCCCCATGGGTTTCCACAGAAAGCAGCTTGGCGCCAACTGTCCTGCTGCGAGAGGAAAACGGACGGACGCTGTGTGTGGAGCTCACCTGAGAGCTGAGAAGTGGGACAATGGGGACCCCTCCGTGCTTCCTGAAACTCGGGTCTCTCCTGCTCCTCAACCCACGGCTCATCCCACTGTTCCAGGCGAGAGACGAGGTCTGGTCTGGGGCCAAGAAATCCTTCTCAAAGGAGAGAAAAGGTGCTGGTTTATTTGTAGAGAGGACAAAGTCAGGGTGCAGCGGCTCAGACAAGCCCTCGGGGGTGCTCCAGAGAAGCTGCCCCAAAGCAAAGACGACAGACAGGGAGAAGGGAATCACAGCTCCAAATCGCAATGGGCTCTCCCCACCCCTCCCTGCTGGCGGCAAAGGCCCATAGAAGGTCCCAGCAGCGCTGGGTCCAACAGTGGATGGGCCCGAGGAAGGAAGATGAGGCTGTCTCCAGGGGAGCACAGATAAATGCCCTTGGCCAGACGTGCCGCAGGGCAGCCCCTCTATGGGACACAGGACAAGAGCTGCCACTCCTGAGCCCCTTAGCCTGGACTCGAGGCCCCAGCACCAGTGAGGGTCCAGACAGGCTCTAGAGACCGACAGCATAGTCCTTACCCAGTGCGGCCAAGCTCCCAAAATTGTCCAGCATCACATCCCGGTAGAGGGCCCTCTGGCTGGGGTTCAGACACTGCCACTCTTCCCTTGAGAAATGTATGGCCACCTCCTCGAAGGTCACTGGCTCCTGCAACAGACAGCTCCCCACCAGAGCAGGAAGTCAGATCTGGCTGCTCCTGAGGCTGGCAGGACAGCAGGAAATAAAGAGAAGCTAAAACCCATGTGTCTGGGCTGGAAGAAAAAGTGTGTGCGGGCAGGAGAGGAAAAACCTCAAGAGGCCTGAAGCTTAGGCACGAGGGAAGGCACATGTTACAGACTACATGTCTGTGTCCGCCAAATTGGTATGTGGAAGCCCTAGCCCCCAGTATGGCTGTTTGAAGACGGGGCCTCTAAGGAAGTAATTAAGGTTAAAAGAGGTCATAAGGGTGGGGCCCTGATCTGACAGGACTAGTGTCCTCATGAGAAGAGACACTAGAGAGCTCGTGCTCCCTACCTCTCCTCCTCTCTCAGGTGGCCGTCTATGAGCCAGGAAGTGGGTCATCGCCAGAACCCTGATCTGGGACCTCCAGCCTTCAGAACAGTGAGAAATACATAAATGCCTGTGGTATTGAGTTATGGCAGCTCTAGCAGACAAGACACCACCTAAGAGAATCATGTGTATTTTCAACTTTGCTGTAACATCAACTGCGGTCTTACTGTAAATGAATCACATTTTCTTTTTGTTCCCCCGTCCATAACAGAGAACTACCAATCAGGCAGGGAATCACAGACCTCTGGAGCCACCACCGTGGACCCCTCCCCATGGGTGGGCTGGAGGCTGGGGCCTTGGACACCTGCAGGGCAGGAGGAGGCCATGCTCACCTGGGAGACATCCATGGGAACAGCAGGCCTGCAGGGAGACACGTGGGCCCCCTCTGGGGAAAGGTAAGTGCTGAGGAGCAGCCGACCTGAGGAGACAGAGAGTGAGAGAGAGCTGTAGCCTGGAAGTCCCCACCTGACCCCAAGAGCCACAGCTACTCAGAGGGCCGAGGGGGATTCAGGAAAAACCAGCGACACAAGTGCACACACACTTGCAGGATATGCTGCTCACAGGGTATGCTGCTTGCAGGGTATGCTCCATAATGGAAGGGGAATTAGGGATGGGAGGGGGGCCGGCATTGCTGTAGGGAAATCACCGGGTGCCGGGTGCGACCTCCCACACACAAGGACCATGACATGCCAGAAGGCAAGCCACAGTCTGCCACCAAATTATGGCTGAGAGCAGCCATTTATGGCTGAAAGCCAGGAGCTTTGCTGCAGACATGGACTGGAGGATTGGGGGCTAAAATCCCAGCTGAGGCAGCCTGGGTTCCTCTCCAGAGACAGGACCGGGGCAGCACGTGCCCATGGCACTGCACACATAAACCTTCTCAGGCACTTTCCCACAAACAAGGCCACATCACAGCTTTCCCCCAAATCCAACTACAGTGCAGCCCATTACTCTCCATCAGAGCTTCATCACCCTTCACTGAGTTTTAGGAATAAGCCACAAACTCCCAGACCAAGCAGCAGGGTCTGCTCCGATCCAGCTTCGGCCCCCAGGTATGTTCAGAACCAACCTCCTCAGAAGCCCGAGGTCCCCTGCCACAGTGGCTCCTGGGTCTTTCCTGGGTAGAACGTGAAGACCTAAGATGCAGGAGAGCCCAGTTCTAAAGACGCCCTGAGAAAAGTCAAACCAGCTGGAGGAAGATGCCTAGTTCCCCATATCAGGGATGAAAGAAAGAGGTCTCACTATAGACCCTTTAGACGTTAAAGTATCATAAACGGCCGTTATGAGCAACTTGATGTCAACAAGCTCAGCAACTGAGATGAAATGGACAAATTCCCTTAAAAGCACATTATGAAACTGACAAAAAAAGAAAAAACCTTCCCACAGAGAAAACACCAGACCCAGCTGATTCACTGGTGAACCCCACCAAATCCTTAAGGAAAAATAGCAACAATCTTAGATGTCTTTACCAAACTGAGAAAGAACACATTCCAGCTGTCTCGTGAGGCCAGCAAAGCCCTGATAAAGACATCATAAGACAAGAAAACTACAGGCCAATCTCACTCATAAACACAGACACAGAAATTCTTAACAAAATATTAGGAAGTCCAATACAGCAATTTATTAAAAGAACTATATTCTCCAGAAAACTCCAAGTGGAGTTTATCCTAAGAACACAAAGTTGGTTTGATCTTCATTCACTGGAGTTAGTGACTCCAGGGCTGCAAGGCCCCAGATCAGAGCATGACCACTTCCCAGAAAGACGCCTTCGTCCACGGCACGTAGCAGTGAGGGCATCTGTGGTGACCGCTCTTCATTCCCACCGGCCTCACTTATTGCCCCCGACCTGCGGCACAGCCACTCCACCTGCAAGTTCTGCCAGAAGCTCGTGAGTTCTTCCTGTTGACATGCACTGGCAATTATGGCTAACTGCTAGACGTTTTCCCAACTATGTTTTTCAGGTTGAGATTTTCTTCATCTTTTCCTTTCAACACCATGGCATCACTTTCAGTCACAATGACATCCCCAACTTTTCCTGTCACTTGAAAATGAAGCAACACAATTACCTACATTAACAGAATAAAGGAGAAAACTTATCATAATAAAACTATATGATTATCTCAATAGACATACAAAAAGCATTTGTTAAAATTCAACACTCAATCCTGAGAAAAACTCTCGGCAAACAAGGAACAGAGGAGAACGTCCTCACCTGGATAAGCCTGGACTAACGTCACACCCAAAGGTCAGAACTGAGCTCTCACCCTCTGCGCTCAGGAACAAGGCACCACCGTCAGCTCTCACTGCTTCTCCTTATCATTTTTTGGAGGTCCAAGCCAGTGCAAGAAATTAGAAAGAAATAATGCCATAAAGATTAGAAAGAAAGAAGCAGAAATGTCGTTCGTTATCCAAGGATGACATGACAGTGCTTATAGGAACATCCTAAGGAATCTTCAAATAAACAAAAACTAGAGCTAATGAGTGAAGTAAATAAGGTCAGAGAACATAAAAACCAATCATATTTCTACCAGCAATGAATATTGGGAAAATGAAATAAAAATTACAATGTAACAATTACAAAAACAACTAAAAGTCGAATACCTAGTGTGGCATAATAAGAAATCCCCAGTTCCTGGCACAAAGCTCCTCAAACCCTTGGAACTTCCTGAATGATAAAAGTGATGTTTGTCATATAAAAGGCGGCCTTTTTGAGCTAATGCTAATGAGGTGACTTGGAAAGATCCTAAGTAGCCTCAGGACAGGGCTGGTTGCCCAGAGAACCAACCAAGTGATGAGAGGGTTGGAACTTTCAGTCCCACCCCTGACCTCTGGGGAGGAGAGGGGCTGGAGGTGGGATCAATCACCAATGGCCAATGATTTCATCAATCGTGCTTATTTTAATGGAGCCTCCATAAAAACTCAAACGGACGGGGTTTGGAGAGTGTCCAGGTTGGTGACCACGTGGAGCTTCCAGGAGAGTGGCGTGCTGGGATAGGTTGTGACGGCTCGGCACCCTTCCCTATACCAGCCCTGTGCATCTCTTCCGTCTGGCTGTGCCTGAGTTACATACTTTCATAATAAACTGGTGATCCTGTAAGTAAAATGTTTCTCTGAGTTCTGTGAACTACTCTAGTAAATTAATTGAACCAAGGAGGGGGTCGTGGGATCGATAATCACGGGGCAGAAGCACAAGTGATGACCTGGACCCTCGACTGGCATTTGAAGTGTGTGGGGGAGGGGCAGTCTCGTAGGACTGAGTGAGCCCTTAACCTGTGGGGTCTGACACTATCTCCAGGTAGCTAGTGTCACAATTTAGTTAACTGCTCGGTGGTGTGGGAAAAAACACACATTGGACCTAGGAATACATTTAACAAAAGATGCACAAGTCCTCTACTCTCAAAACTACAAAACATGGGCCGGCTGTGTGGCCAAGTGGTTAGTTCCACATGCTCCACTTCTGCAGCCCGGGGTTCGAAGGTTCAGATCCCAGGCACAGACGTACTCCACTCATCCGCCATGCTGTGGAGGTATCCTACATACAAAGTAGAGGAAGACTGACTGGCACAGATGTTAGCTCAGAGCTAATCTTCCTCAAGTAAAAACAAACAAACAAAAAAAAGAGTGAGATTGGCAATGGATTGTGAGCTCAGAGTAAATCTTCCTCATCAAAAAAAAAAAAAAGGAGGGCCGACCCCGTGGCTTGGCGGTTGGGTGCTCGCGCTCTGATGCTGGCGTCCCGGGTTTGGGGCCCGGGGTCAGATCCCGGGCGCACACCGACACACCGCTTCTCCGGCCATGCTGGGGCCGCGTCCCGCATGCAGCGGCTAGAAGGATGTGCAGCTATGACATGCAGCTATGTGCTGGGGCTTTGGGGGGAAAAATAAATAAATAAAATTAAAAAATTAAAAAAAATAAATAAAGTTGGGATCACTGGGCTATTTTTAAAAAAAAAAAAGGAAAAAACTACAAAACAATGCTGAGCAAACTTGAAGACAGAAATAAATTGAGAGATATCCCATGTTTATGTGTATTAAGCTTTCAATTCTCCCTCAACTGATCTAGAAATTCAACACCAACCCAAGCAAAATCACCAGCAGGTTTTGGAGTAGAAATGGACACGCTGATTATAAAATTTATATGGAAAAGCAAAGCACCTCAAATAATCCATCTTGAAGAATAAAGTGGGGAGACTTACACTACCTGATCTTAAGACTAAGATGCAGCTACAGTAATTAAGACAGTGTAGTGATGGCATAAAGACAGACATACAGACCAATGTAACGGAATAGAGTGCAGAAACAGACCCACACATACAGTTAAGTGTTTTATGACAAAAGCACCAATGTAATTCAACGGGTAAAACAAAGTCGTTTTTTTTTTTTCAATTAATGGTGCCAGAACAACAGGGGGAAAATTACATTTAACACCCCCTACCTCACACCATACCCAAAAAGAATTCAAGACAGATTGGGGAACTAAATGTGAAAGCTGAAAGTATAAAGCTTCTAGAAGCATAAATCAGACAATATCCTCATAACCATGGGGTAGGCAAAGTTTTCTTTCATGGGACCCCAAAAGCACTAACCTTAAAAGAAAAAAATTGATAAATTTGACTTTATCAAAATTAAAATTTTCTGCTTATCAAAAAACAGTTAAGAAATGAAAAGGCGGGGGCCTGCCAGGTGGCATAGCCGTTGAGTGCATGCGCTCCACTTCGGCCGCCTGAGGGTTCGCAGGTTCAGATCCCAGGCGGGCACCAACGCACTGCTTCTCAAGCCGTGCTGTGGCGGCGTCCCATATAAAGTAGAGGAAGATGGGCACGGATGTTAGCCCAGCGCTAATCTTCCTCACAAAAAAAAGAAAAGAAAAGAAAAGAAAAGAAAAGAAAAGAAAAGAAAAGAAAAGAAAAGAAAAGAAAAGAAAAGAAAAGGCAAGCCACAGACTGAGAGGAAATGTTCCCAATACGTGTATCTGACAAAGGACTCCTATCCAGAACTAGAGCTCCCACAAATCAACAATAAAAAGAAAAATAAAGTTTAGAATGGGCAAAATATTTAAACAGACACTTCACCAAAAGATACAAGATGGTCTATAAGCATATGAAAAGGTGCACTGAGCACACGCGTTACGGGTATCGTTTAGGTAGGAGAGACTGTGAGTTCCTCCAGCAACCAACAACCCCCACAGCGATAAAATCGGAACAGCTCCCTGAGCGAGCACCCGCTACGTGCTCCGAACCGGCTGCACTTGGCCCGCGGGAAGCACAGCACGGGAGAGAGCTGCGCGAGGCACGGCCAGAGAAGAGGGCGGGGCAGCGGCCCGAGGCACCCCGGGCCGTGGTTCACGGGAGAGGCAGGCAGGGAGCCCACTGGGCTAAGACCCGTTTCCGAAGGATCCCGCTGGTGAACGAACCAGAAGGCAGGACAGGTCCGGGCGGGGGAAGACAGCGAGAAGACCTCCGGGCGTCGAGTAAGAGGTGGAGGGCGGGGACAGTGGCGCGGAGGGTGAAACGGGCAGGCGGAGAGGACGTGGACAAGCACGCAGATGACCCACGGGGGCTGTGAGCGCCGGCCCGGGCGGGGAGCGGCGCCCACCGGGAGAAGCGCCTCCGCGGGACCGCGGGGCAGGCGCAGGACGGAGTGTGGACACTTGGGTGTTCGTAACCCTAGGCCGGCAGCGGGACGTGGTGTCTGGACCCCCCGGAGTGGTCCAGCCGGCGCCACAGACGCGGCGGTCGTCTACGAGGCGGCGGTGGCCGGGTCACCGGGGAGGGGGTCCAGCACAGCGCACGCGGCGCGGCCCTGACGAGCCGAGGACGAGGGGGCGCGGAGAGCAGGC